TCCTAACCCGTTTTCGCTTTTTCTAAACGAAAATAGMCGTATTTGTGTTGTTTCTAAAGCGAAACTGTACTAAACGGCTTTTAAGGAGATATTTTAGGTACAAGAAATGTACGAGGACTACAACTACCATCATGCTTTGCTGCACAAATTGGCGTCACGGCGCGTAGCGTGGACTTTTTGGCTAGTACGCACATGTCGGGGACCGCGACACATATTTTGAATCTGGGGGTCTAACGACCGCCTAAGGTGGAAGTATTAAGGGAGCCTGGACCTCCCCCAGGAAATTTTCAAATGATAACTCTTGGAAATGTGATTTCCAGCGTTTTGAGAGACATCGAGGGCATATAAAAGGGATCAATAATTTTATGTGATTTTTTTCAGTAATTTTTGTGAAAATTTTGATATTTCCTTACCACTAGTACGCACGTGCGTATATGCGTAAAGGACGCTACGCGCCTGAGTAAACAATATATAAAATAAGAAAGGATAAAAAGAGGCCGTTGTCAGCTTGCGCGGGCAATGTTTTCTCTTTCTTTCATCCTACTACATTCTGATATGATTTTACGTCCTTAATTTTTCAAAAGCGTTCACAAGAGTTTTTCCCCATTCCCCATGTTTTATAGATTCAAATCTCTACACTATTTAGGTAATACTCCACAACCCATGTCTTTAATTGATATTTCTCTCTTTTTCTTTCATTTTTTCGATTCTTATTTATTTATTAATTAATTTTTATATATTTTGTGATGACTTACTTGTGATGTTTTCAAATCGCATAGCAGGTTACGCCGATCGGTGAAAACAGGTGTCTTATTAAGACATAAATAATCTATCGAAAACACAGCAAATTGTGAAAAGCGATCTCATATCATCGTCGACTAATTAGCCAGGAGATGATAATTACTTGAGGTCAGCGGTGTTTTAATAACACAGCAAGCAATGCCAAAATGGCGCCAGAAAGAAYACCAGTTAGACTGCTGTCACTTATAATAGCTGTATGCAACGCTTACTSTACAAYASTARACTTAAAAGGAAARTGGAGCATTCATAACGCRAATGGGAGCATTAAGGTGTATGGTAATGTGCCAGGATCTGTCCACATGTCATTGTTGGAGAATGGTGTGATCCAAGATCCTTACTTCCGCTTTAATGATGTCAACTATCGATGGATAGCTTACGATAATTGGACGTACACAAGAACGTTTACAGGTGATACATGTGTTTTCATGTTTMATGGCGTTTTCTTTGAGAAGTTTGAATGGGATTTTTATCTGACCTTTAACACAATTGATTTATTTGTAAACATTTTTTTTTGATTTCTTCAGAATTTTCTTATTATTTTCTATTATATATTTGAGATGTGATCTGCACTCAACCGATTGGCGGTAGCTGATAATCTTGTTTATATCAGAGTTCTAACTTTATAAATCCTTCTACTACTGCTCTGGTTTTGCTCTCGGGCTTCCTGTGCCATTATAAATAGACACAGAAAATCCAAACCAAAGGGATGGGAGTGCGACTCGACTAGGCAACCTTCTTGATTTTCATGACATTTTAATGGCAAGAATTACTAAAAATAATATTCTTATATATAGTGCGCATATAATTATGAGATGGAGGGCACTTGAAAAACACTCTATCAATTCTGTTATTCAGCCTTCTCTTGAGCTCTATTGTGCATGTATTCAATGCATCATTTTGAAATATCAGTTGACATATACAAGGCTATRTTACTGTYRTAGGGAAMAATATTGTTTTTGAATTTYTATRACAGTTAGCTTGGCAACYTGGGTGGGTWTAATSCATTATGTTTGTTCGTAAAAGTTGTGCYGTGTAATTGGTCTTTTTATGCTCCTGCAGYRTCGCAAGATCTTCTTTCCAAAAMCAAAGTTGTCCTAGTCTGCGATGGGTTAGATACAGTATCAACTATTATGATMAATGAACAAGTGGTTGGTCAGTCAGTCAACATGTTTATCAGATATATATTTGATATCAARGCTGCTCTCAAAGTGGGTACWAATACAATACAAATAAGTTTCACATCAGCCATTCATTATGCCACAAGGAAAAGCAAGGAATATGGTTAYGATGTCCCCCCTGAKTGTTCTGTGCCTGTTCAGCGTGGGGAATGTCATAGGAATTTTATAAGAAAAGAGCAGAGCTCATTCAGTTGGGTAAGAATCAAGATTATAGAGAACTTTAAAAGGTAGAAGTAAGTGAGCATGTTTAATCTACAGTTTATACAATTAAAGATGATCATGGCTTCCCAAAGCTAAGGATAGGTCATCTGTCTACCCAACAGCCTACCCATTTCTCCGGTGTAAAAGGTAGTTAACCCTTATTTACATGTATGGATATRGGTAGGCTACCTGTATCGATACACAGATACAGTATAATCTAAGGTCTCCTATGATAATCAGAGTTAGCTTTATTCAATGTCTGCAGGTCATGCACATTACTGATCTGCCTTTTGTCATACTATAGGACTGGGGTCCAGCTTTTGCACCTCAGGGAATATGGTAAGAAGTGCGTAGCAATACTAATGTTATGTTTGCACTATTATCTATAAAACACTAGCTGATTCAAACTCCATTGTAATGGTAATATTATAGGAGGAATATTAGTGTACAAGGTTATGAGACTGCTGTCATTMGAGATGTCAAGATAAAAACTACTAGAAAAAGTAAGCTGAGTTCAACAATACATATAACCCACGATGTACTAAATGCATACCCTGACATAGTGAATACCTACCCTGACATAGTGAATACATACCCTGACATAGTGAATACCTACCCTGACATAGTGAATACATACCCTGACATAGTGAATACATACCCTGACATAGTGAATACATACCCTGACATAGTGAATACCTACCCTGACA